ACTATTACAGTTCCTTTAAAATTGCAACACACGATTAATAACTCAAGCATTCATTTCTAATGAATGAATTGAATTAGAATTCACATTCTAATCTTTTTCAGAAGCTCCTTGACCATGATAATCTTTTTTCACATCTCTGCTCTTTTCCTTTGTAGATTCTTTCACCACCTGAGCAATGAGCAAAAGAATCAATCAGATATATGCTACACGTACATTTTAGTGACTATTTAGGCCTGCATACATGATTTATTAGTTAAAGCATTGTCATTTTATGCTCATATATAGTAATAGCACCATATTATACACAATACAGAGTCAAATACTTGCTGATTATTCACTACACTGCTACCATCATTGTAAACTGTGCCTACATTGTACTATTACAGTTCCTTTAAAATTGCAACACACGATTAATAACTCATCAAGCATTCATTTCTAATGAATGAATTGAATTAGAATTCACATTCTAATCTTTTTCAGAAGCTCCTTGACCATGATAATCTTTTTTCACATCTCTGCTCTTTTCCTTTGTAGATTCTTTCACCACCTGAGCAATGAGCAAAAGAATCAATCAGATATATGCTACACGTACATTTGAAGGAAAAAACAAAGGCAAACAAGCTATAACTTTAAACAATGAGAATACTGAGTGATAGAGTGTTTTTCACTGGCCAATTTATTGTTAAAGGATGCTCTGATGTCCGTTTCAGTAAGACTGGAATCAAAATGTCTCACCTCTCCATCACGAATCTCAACGGTCTTGATTAGGACTTTCTTTCCAGGTCCAGTATCAGAAAACTGACCATAATCTGTTCAAAGACATCACACATCAGATGCTATAAAACCTTACACATGGACACAGATGAATTGTTTTTGTGTTTTGTAAAAGGATATGAAATTATATGAGTGGAGACATGGAAACAATTGTTTACCCCTTGTATCTGTCCATTATTATTATCATGAGCAACTACAGTAGCAATCAAAAGTTAACTCATTTTCGTGTCAGCTGATAGAAGGAAATGTGACCTTTTACACAAAGGAATCGTACACCCAACATACAACTCCAGTGTTATTAATCATGTCTTCCAAAGTAATCGAATTGGTTTTAGGTGAGAACTACTTTATTACATTTTAATCAAAAGTTTTGAATTTGCTCTTTTTTACTTGATGCGTTGAAATATGATCATCTTGGATTATTCTGACATAATACAAAAATGAAGAAAATTCAATTTCTGCTATAAGGTCATTTGTGCTGCACAATTTCCTACATAAGGCAAGCCAGCTCAATTGTAAATTTAGGTTATTCCAATTTTTTTTAATTAAGGTTATTCCAATAAATCTATTGATATTCATAAATAAACATCAAAATGCAAATGGCATTGTATGAGCAAAACCTTACACATGGACACAGATGAATTGTTTTTGTGTTTTGTAAAAGGATATGAAATTATATGAGTGGAGACATGGAAACAATTGTTTACCCCTTGTATCTGTCCATTATTATTATCATGAGCAACTACAGTAGCAATCAAAAGTTAACTCATTTTCGTGTCAGCTGATAGAAGGAAATGTGACCTTTTACACAAAGGAATCGTACACCCAACATACAACTCCAGTGTTATTAATCATGTCTTCCAAAGTAATCGAATTGGTTTAGGTGAGAACTACTTTTGATTACATTTTAATCAAAAGTTTTGAATTTGCTCTTTTTTACTTGATGCGTTGAAATATGATCATCTTGGATTATTCTGACATGATACAAAAATGAAGAAAATTCAATTTCTGCTATAAGGTCATTTGTGCTGCACAATTTCCTACATAAGGCAAGCCAGCTCAATTGTAAATTTAGGTTATTCCAATTTTTTTAAATTAAGGTTATTCCAATAAATCTATTGATATTCATAAATAAACATCAAAATGCAAATGGCATTGTATGAGCAAAGTTAAATGGATAGTTCACCCAAAAATGAATCACATGGATTATTTTACAGATCTCCTTGCTACGTTTCTGGACTTGGGAACATTTCAGTTGTGTTGCTGTCTATGCAGGGTCAGACAGCTCTCAGATTCCATTAAAAATATCTTAATTTGTGTTCCGAAGATGAACGAGGGTCTTACGGGTTTGGAACGACACGAGGCGAGGGTGAGTAATTAATGACAACATTCTCATTTTTGGGTGAACAATCCCTTTAAGAAACAATAATACAACAGGGTTTGCTTGGCTGGTCTGTGTGTGTGATTCTACAACCCTCTTTTTAATTTTGAGTGAACTATTCCTTGAACACCTTCAACCATTCCATCCTTGCTTTTTTTTTTTTTTTTTAGGGAATTGGTGATCCTCTGCCCATCTTGACTTCTGAGAGACACTGCCACTCAGAGAGGCTCTTTTTATACCCAATCATGTTGCCAATTGACCTAATAAGTTGCAAATTGGTCCTCCAGCTGTTCCTTATATGTACATTTAACTTTTCCGGCCTCTTATTGCTACCTGTCCCAACTTTTTGGGAATGTGTAGCTCTCATGAAATCCAAAATGAGCCAATATTTGGCATGACATTTCAAAATGTCTCACTTTCAACATTTGATATGTTATCTATATTCTATTGTGAATAAAATATAAATTTATGAGATTTGTAAATTATTCCATTCCTTTTTTACTCACAATTTGTACAGTGTCCCAACTTTTTTGGAATTGGGTTTGTACTTAATCTTTTGATCACAATATACTTTCTAAATATCATTAAAGGGACCCCTAGTGAAAAATAAATATACTAAATGTATTTGAAATACATTTATTTCATGCTAAGTATAATATAAATACATTTATATATTTATGTACTTAATAAAAATACAGTGCAATTGTACTTTTAATATACTACTTAAAGTCTGCTAAATTGGAAAAACTGATTTTGTGCACTTTAATTGTGCTGAAGTCCTACTATAGACATACTGAAGTATATTTGACTAAAGTGAAACTATTGCAAGTATACTTCAGGTACAATTTAACTATCTTGCATTTAATGGCCGATATTATTCAAAGATCTTCATCAATAGTGACATTAAAACACATTAGGCTTAATATTAAGAAATGTGCATTGTGCAAGTAGTATTCCAAATAATTGTTAATTATCATTTTTATATCAGTAAGTCTTGAGCGATATTTCAGTAAATATGTTAATAGATTTGAACTATACTTAGTAGAAAAGCTGCATGGTCTGATGAAGGCCTGGATAATGGCCGAAACGTCACATGTATTTTAACCACTAAAGTTGGATTTCATCAAGAGTGAGTGTTGCAACTTTTCTAAATGACATTACTTTTTTATTTTTGGTTGCACCTCCTCCTCTGTTGGTAGAGCACCTCTTTTTCAGCAATTTTTATAAGTGATGACAGAATGTTCATTTTTGGGTGAACTATCCCTAGTAAAAATGTAATTGGCTACAGATAGGCTACTGATAGATTAGCCTATTACATACTTTCTTACCCCACAAATACCAGCTTCTTTGAGGTAATACACCAGCATGTAATTTAGATACTATCCCTATAAACATACACGTTTATCATAACAATTCAGCTTTGATATAGCTTTGGGATATGGTTTCTACACCATATTTTTTCAGCATAGACAGGAATTTGATTTGACCATTTACCAATTAATTATTTCTTAATGAAATATTTGTGTCTCACCTCATCATGCATCTTTTTGAGGAACTCAATCTCATCCATCAGAGATTCAATCTTTCTCTCCAGTTCCAGACGAGCAAGTGTAGCATTATCCACATCCTTCAAGTACAAACAGTCAGATTAATACTACTGTTATATCTGGTTTTATATACTTAAAAAAAATTAAACATTGCATTTTAGAGTGCTGCAGGGATGACATGTAAAGAACCTCAGAGACAGCATTCAGTGGAAATATACAGTATGTTGTAAAATACTTTCCATCACATTACCTTACGAAAGAGAGTCAAATTATTCTCAACTTCCTGTCTTTTCTGCATCTCCTCATTTAACCTGCACATAAATATGGGAAAATAAAAGTCAGCTTCAATAAAAATCAAGGTTTAATACCTTTTCCCAGAGTAAGACCAAATGTAATTGTACATTAGTGTGCTGTTAGAATCATGTAATCCATCTTTTATTTGATACTGGGATGGGTGAGAGAGGGTCCTTAAAGATCTTATGTCTGAAGCGAAGGTTGTAATATAAATATAAAATCTTATCTGGCAGCGAGTCAGAGAAATGATTAGCTGATTTGCTTAAAAGCATCTGAGATTACATTAGTACCGTGAAATGTTCTTATTGCAAATTTAATCATCTATTCAAAGCATAAGCCAAACATATAGAGTGAGTCCTACAGTACTTCTGCTTTATCGGTATCATAATATATTGCTCAAAGAAAAGACTAAATCTAGACAATGCACGATTATTCTTAAGGTTCAGCTAAAAATGGGCATCACGAACATAATTACAGTGATTCTTTAAAACATAGGCTTACTGTTGATGAAACAATGTGTAAAAAATAACTCTGCAGAATATGAACAATATGCGTATTACCGTTTTTAAGAAGAAAAATCTAGAAAGTATATGATTGTGTAATATTCTAATTATATTCAGTAATGTGGATGATTGCACTGCTTTAAGATGCGTGAGCTAAAGCTGAACATTTCAGTACAATAGTATAGGCCTACTTATTATAATGTTATATAGGAATTTAGATTTTTAAGGACAGTGTTCACGTTTTTTTTCTAAACCAAAAACTGATAGGTTACCAAAACAACCCCAGGTATTTATTCAATATAGTGGCTAAATTAAAGAAAAATAAAGCATCAACAGACACAGACATTTCCCAACATCACAGCAGAATGAACTTGATGAACTTCTTTACTTCCAAAATTGATACTATCAGAGATACAGTTACAACCATGCAGCCATCAGCTACAGTATTGTATAAGACAGATCCCCTGATTGGAACAGTTCCACTCATTGTCTGCTATAGGAAAGGAAGAATTGTATAAAACAACAACATTTATGTTAGACCCTATTCCATCTAAGCTATTAAAAGAGGTGCTTCCAGAAGTCATAGATCCTTTTCTGAATATTATTAATTAGTCAATGTCGTTAGGATATGTCCCAAAAACCTTCAAACTGTTATTAAGCCTCTCATTAAAAAAACACATTTCGATCCAAGAGAATTAGTTAATTACAAACCAATCTAAAATCTCCTCTTTCTGTCAAAGATACTAGAAAAGGCAATATCCTCTCAGCTATGTTCCATCTTAGAGAAAAATCTGTGAGGATTTCCGTTCAGGATTTAGATCGTATCATAGTAATGAGACTGATCTCAGCAGAGTTACAAATTACCTTCTCTTATCATCCGATCGTGGTTGTATTTCTCTATTAGTGCTACTGGATCTCAGCACTGCATTTGACACTATCGACCACAACATTCTGATGATGATGTTATGTGATGTGACGTGTGGCCAAGTATGGTGTCCCATAATCGGAATTTGTGCTCTGCATTTAACCCATCCAAGTGCACACACACAGCAGACACACACAGTGAACACACACCCAGTGCAGTGGGCAGCCTTTTTTTTTTGCTGTGGTCTCCTCTTTCTGTCAAAGATACTAGAAAAGGCAATATCCTCTCAGCTATGTTCCATCTTAGAGAAAAATCTGTGAGGATTTCCGTTCAGGATTTAGATCGTATCATAGTAATGAGACTGATCTCAGCAGAGTTACAAATTACCTTCTCTTATCATCCGATCGTGGTTGTATTTCTCTATTAGTGCTACTGGATCTCAGCACTGCATTTGACACTATCGACCACAACATTCTGATGATGATGTGATGTGATGTGACGTGTGGCCAAGTATGGTGTCCCATATTCGGAATTTGTGCTCTGCATTTAACCCATCCAAGTGCACACACACAGCAGACACACACAGTGAACACACACCCAGTGCAGTGGGCAGCCTTTTTTTTTTTGCTGTGGCGCCCAGGGAGCAGTTGGGGGTTGGGTGCCTTGCTCAAGGGTATCACCTCGTCATGGTACTGAGGGTGGAAGAGAGCGCTGTACATTCACTCCCCCACCAACAATTCCTGCCGGTACCGAGACTCCAACCCGTGACCTTCGGGTTACGAGTCAGACTCTCTATCCATTAGGCCACAACTGCCCCTAATGGTCTACTCTTTTGAATAGACTACAAAATTATGTTGGAATTAGTGAATTGCATTGGCATGATTCAAATCATACTTATCTGACCATCATCAATTCGTAGCAGTGAATGAAGAGGAATCATATCGATCACAAGTGCAGTATGGAATGCCACAAGGCTCAGTACTAAGGCCGTTGCTCTTTAACACTTTACATGTTACCCTTAGGAGATATCATCAAGAAACATGTTGTTAGCTTTCACTGTTACGCTGATGATACTCAGCTCTATATTTCTTCGCGGATTGACTAAACATGCCAATTCGTAAATCGGAATGCATAGCTGATATTAAAAACTGTATAACTACTAATTTCCTACTGCTAATTTCTGGGGGGAAAAAACAGGTGTTAAATATCACTTAAATAACACTTGATGGCTGCTCTGTTAATTCTTCGTCATCAGTTTGGAACATAGGTGTGCAATTTGATAGCAATCTTTCCTTTGAAAGACACGTTTCTAGCATTTGTAAAACTGCATTTTTCCATCTTAAAAACATATTTAAGCATTAATTCATGCATTCATGACCTCAAGGTTAGATTATTGTAATGCTTTATTGGGTGGTTGCTCAGCGCACTTAATAAACAAACTCCAGCTGGTCCAAAATACAGCAGCTAGAGTTCTTACTAGAACCAGGAAGTATGACCATATTAGCCCGGTTCTGTCAACTCTGCACTGGCTCCCTATTGAACAACGAAGACATTTTAAAATCTTGCTGATTACTTATAAAGCCCTGAATGGTTTAGCTCCTCAATACTTGAGCGAGCTCATATCGTATTATTGTCTTTTACATCCACCACGATCTCAAAACTCAAAAAGGCCATTTGATAATACCTAGAATATCAAAATCAACTGCGGACGGCAGATCCTTTTCCTATTTAGCACCCAAACTCTGGAACAATCTACCTAGCATTGTCCGGGAGGCAGATACACTCTGTCAGTTTAGATCTAGATTAAAGACCCATCTCTTTCACTTGGCATACACATAATACACTATCGCATTTCTATAATTCAAATCCGTTAAAGGATTGTTAGGCTGCATTAATTAGGTCAACCGGAACCGGGAACACTTCCCATAACACAGACTAATATTAGTATAGATGCCATTCTTCTTATGATGTAGAGTCGCTTTCATTCTTATTCCGAGGTCTCGGTAACCATACGGATCCAGTATGTATCCAGATCAGATGGTCACTGTAGCAACCCAGATCCAGTCCATATCCAGACCAGATGGTGGATCAGCACCTATAGCAGGGGTGGCGAACTCCGGTCCTGGAGAGCCGCAGCCCTGCAGAGTTCAGCTCCAACCCTAATTAAAACTCACCTGCCTGTAGCTTTCTAGTAACCCTTCAGACCTTGATTATCTTGTTCAGGTGTGTTTGATTAGGGTTGAAGCAAAACTCTGCAGGGCTGCGGCTCTCCAGGACCGACGTTTGCCACCCCTGACCTATAGAGACGACCTCTATAGCCCTGAATGTCAGCGGAGACCATGTCAACTAGATGCGCCCCAGAGACAGATCCCCTGCGAAGACCTCATCACCTCGACGACCATCGGCACAAGACCACAGGAACCAGACAAGTCCTCTGCACCTGTGTTGCAGCCTGGAATTAAACCACACCATGTTGGTTTCGTCTGGCCAGAGGAGAACTGCCTCTGTGCAATCAGTCAAGCTTCCCCAACTAAGCAGGGGGGGCTTCCCTAGTTGGGGAAGCTTGACTGATTGCACAGACACTATTGGAAGAGAGCTGAACTGGATGATGACATCACTGAATCATCAATGAACTGACTTTAGCTGAAAAATTACTCTGTTATTGTCTTCTTGCATTATTGACAAACTATTTTCCTGTTTAACACTGTAAAGCTGCTTTGACACAACCAGTACTGTATAAAGTGCTATACAAATAAAGGTGACTTGACAAGACACACTTTGGCTGCATTTACACTTGGCATTAACATATGCGACCTGTATCCGGATGTTGTCCACATACACATTGAAAAGACAAGTGTAAAAGTGCTGCTGATCGGAATGTTATCCGTTCAGCGTTTCCTGGTCTAGATGTAGTCGAGGACACATTGTGATCGGATCTCAGTGTAATGTAAACGTAATCCAGCCATCGTGTGTGCATTCTCAGGTCAATGTCGCGCAAAACCCTGCCCTGTCAGAAGGCTTATTTAAATATTGCGTGGAAAAGAGAGATCCGATCGGTTATCCAGATAGAGAAGTCACTTAATGTTGCCAAATGTAAACATGATGATCCGATCTGCTTGATCAGATTACGGTGATCGAGTAAGCCATTTTCTGTGAATGTGCAAGACTTCCGGTTCATTAGCCACTGTAGGGAAATGAATAACAACGAGAAGAATAACAACGTGCAGTAAACGGTAAAACTGTTTGCACTACAAACCAGTGTGTTCATAAATAAGATAATAAATTAAAATAATATGGTAAGACAGACCAATTTGCAATATCAAGCAGCAAAAGCTGTTTTGTACAGCTAAAAATAACCGGAAGCGGATGAATACTTATTATTTAAGCCCTAAATTGTCTGCCCCTTTAAATCGATTTCCAGGGGGGATTTTACGGTTAAATGGGGAATTTTCTTTTCTTATGTCATATCAGTTTAATCATTCTCTTTGAATAATAAGTCGTGATAGGGCTGTTACCAATAAAATCAGTATCGGTAAAATCAATTTTTGCACTGTAGAGGTGACATAGAATCTGCATCAGCTCAAATGCGTTGAATAGACACTGCAGTTGCAAGAGCATAAATAATGTTATGAGATTAATGTTTTAAATG